CTAGATGTTCCCTGAGACCATGTTCCCTACAGCCCTCCGTGTAGCAGTTCAGTCCCTCAGGGAGTTTGGATGTGTCTGTGGAGCTTCCATGACCTTTCTTTGTACAAGTTGTGCTGGCTTCCCCAGTATTGTGTACTGTCTTACCCTTCACCAAAGTTACCACTTATCTATTGTCTGTTTAGTTCCCCCCGCCACCTCTCCCATCCCTCGTAACCAACAAAGATTGTTTCTTTTTGTGTGTAAACTTTTACCTGAGTTTTTACAGTAGAGGACTCATACAATATCTGTCCTTTTGTGATTGACTTATTTTATTCAGCATAGTGTCCTCCAGTTTCATCCATGTTGTTAGAGTTTGTTTTATTTATTTGGGAGCTCTGTCATTGGGTGCATAGATGTTTATTATGGTTATGTCTTTTTCATGGTGGATCGTCCCCTCAATCATTATATAGTGTCCTTCTTTGTTTTTTATGGTGGATTTTGTTTTAAAGTCTATTTTATTTGAGATTAGTATTGCCATTCCTGCTCTTTTTTGGTAGCTGTTTGCTTGATATATTTTTTCCATACTTTGATTTTTAATAAATTTACGTCTTTGTTTCTAAAGTGTGTCTCTTGTAGACAGCATATTGATGGATCCTGTTTTTTTATCCATTCTGTCACTCTCCATCTCTTCATGGATGTATTTAGGCCATTTACATTCAGTATAATTACTGATAGGTATGAGTTTATTGCTGTCATTTTGTAGTGATTTTTTTTGTAGTGTTGACATTTTCTTTGTTCCTCTCGCTCTCGTCTGCTGAATTCCTTTTGTTTGTGTTTTTTTTTTTTCCATTTCTTTTGTTTTTGTAGGTTTTGTTTTTACTGAGACTTTATGTTTTCCTTCTTTATTTTAATGAGTAGGTTTGTTAACTTTCTTTGTGGTTACCTTGAAATTTACCCTTATCTTCCTAGGTTTGAGCCAGTCTATTATTAGTTGGTATTGCCTTGCCTTCCTCTCTATTAGAAAGTTCTATACCTACACCATTTATTCCCTCTTTTATTGTTCTGATGTTGTTGTCATTTACAGATCAACCTCTCTGGTTCCCTGTTGTAATTCTTTCAGTTTTGGATAGTCTTTAAGAGTTCATTTCATAGGTTCGTATCTGGCTAGTACAATCCTGTGTCCTAGCTTCAGCCTGTTGTCTGATGTTTGTTCTCAGATTGAAGGACCCCCTTTAATAAGTCTTGTAAGTTTGGTTTGGTTTTTACATAGTCCCTTAATTTCTGTTTATCTGGAAATGACCTAATTTCACCATCATATTTGAACAAGAGTCTTGCGGGATATATTATTCTTGGCTGGCAGTTTTTTTCTTTCAGATTTTTTTATATGTCATCCCATTGTCTTCTTGCCTCTATGGTTTCTGCCAAACAGTCCGAGGTTAGTCTTACTGTTTCTCCTCTGTATGTGACTTTTTGTTTTTCTCGAGCTGCTCTCAGGATTGTTTGTCTTTGGTTTTAGCGAGTGTGATTATGATATGCCTTTGTGATTTTCTTTTGGGGGTCTATCCTATATGAGGTTCGTTGAGCTTCTTGGATGGCCAGCTTTTCATCTTTCATGATATTGGGGAAGTTTTCTGTCAGCAGTTCTTCAGTGATCCTCTCTGTGTTTTCTGTTTCCTCCCCCTCTTCTGGAACTCCGATCACTTACAGATTTTTGCTTTTGATTGTATCCCACATAATTCTCAGGGTTTCTTCATTTCTGTTTGTTCTTTTCTCTGATTTTTCCTCAGA